CTTTAACTAAGTATGTAATTCGATATGCGACTCGACCAGTTAACGTGTTACCGTACTGCACGTAACTATATACAGAGCATTGCATACGAATTTGGAGTATTCTTATTTTGTGTTATATTAATGTACACTTGATGTTTGCAAACAGAGAGCATTTTTTTAATAATTGATCTAAGATTATATATAATATAGCTTTAATTTCAATTTAAAAATTATAAGATATCACTGCTTCCATTACACTGTACGTATCTTTTGTAAGTGAATCAATTTTCATATGTAAACGGTATGCGACCTTAACTTAATCTAATCATCTTAGACAAATTTTCCTTTCATTTTCTACTTTATTATGAACGTACCATTTTTTTTTTCAAATCAGGTTTAATGCTATTGATTTGAATTTTATTTCATCAAGAAAAATCTAACAACATAATTATTACACATAATAGATAAAATACTATTACACTAGTCCTTTTCACCCTTTTCGGCTTGTATAAACAAGCTTTTAACATCGTTCAACTTGTATAACATAAGCTTCCCACGTCGTTTAAATTTCATTCATGCTGAGATAGGCAACAGATTAATATACATTTAATGATCACAACATTAGAAGCAGCTGTCATGATAAAATGTATAACAGCCTCCGATAAAAATGCAAAGTGCTATAAAAAAATAGCCACTGTCTAAATCCGTAGAAATTTATAATTCTAAAAATTCTGTAAGCGAGTAAAATTTCAGAATTAGTTGATTCTAGGCGACTTGCATTCTTTTTTTCCCAATTTAAGTCTTTTACATCAAATAACAGTTTCAGCGAATCAAAACATAAATTTGATTACTTTCACATCGGCTTAAGAAGTGTTTTTAGCAGTTCTTCCCTCATTTCCCCATCTGAATAGAAATTTTTAATGCCGCAGCTGATAAACAATTACTTGTCACTATACTGAAGCTACATGCAGACTAGTTACAATGCTTTTATATCACTATCAAATCGGCCTGACAGTGCCATATCAACAGTATGCAAAAAGATATTACTTTACAGCAAAATACGTGACTGAAGAAAATGTATTCTCTTCTTCTTTTTGGCTACATGTAAATTATTTTTAAAGCTTCAATTTCAAAGTTCACTATCGCGTATGGGTACGCAATTTTCACATCTGCAAAAGCTAAAGATAACCCGAAAGAATGTGCTTTGCCTTACGTGCTACCTCACTGAATGTCCTCCAAATATACCAAACCATGGCTAAGAGTTCCATCGCTATATACATACTGTAATATTTCAGATGTTTCATTATGACACTTCCTAAGTTAAATGAAAATCTCGATCATTTATCTGCCATGTAATCATGTAGCTATCTTACTGACTAACTATGACGAGGGAGCTTAAGGTGTGTTGGAACCCCAAAATCTTCAAAAAATTGAGATTTCGGACTTTTTCATTTTCAAATTCTCTACGCTTTTATCTTTCTAAAAATAGCATTCATTAATCTCTATGAAAATTAGAACTGTAAAAAATCTAGTTTTAGTTTGTCATCGACTGCTTTGATCAATGAGGATTTTAACATAAAACGTGTTTTTCCCCAAACGTAATTTTTTTATACTCGATGTACCTTTTCTCAGGAACTACTGCTCACAGGTATCTAAAATGTTTATGGCATATTGATTAGGTTTCCTAATATTTACCGAAATGAGCTTTTTGTGATAAACTTAGGGAAAAAAATTTTGTGTGAGAAGTGCTAAGTTTGACTATGCCTAACAAAATGTTCTGTAAATTACTCTAAAATTTAAAATGTTTCAAAAGCTCACTTTAGTATAATCAGATAAATATTCTTTAATTACACACAAAATTTCAAGCGTGTATCTACAACAGATTTTGAGAAAAGGTACATCGAAAATGGCCAATTTAACGTTGTCGGTATAGGGGTTGCTGATACCCCTTAAACTTACTAAGATCAAATATTGAAAATTTTGACTGTCTAGCTGAAGTTCAAACAGGTCGGTGCATAAAACTTCAGAAAGCCTAACACACCTCGTCTAATATCTAGGAAGAAAAATAAAAGCAATTTTAAAGCTTTGCATAGAGAATTTGTAAATTACAACCGAAAATAGATTAGGGAACACATATGCTATTTTTTATTTAGTTACAAATTTATTTGTTTCAAAATCGTTTTAGATTCAAAATGAGAAGTTATCTCCTGTCTAGAATGAGTTTCTGAAAAATAATCAAAATAAACATGCCCCTTTAAGATTTCGGGGAAAAATGTTGTAACTCATTTAACAATTTAAACGCTTGTAGGCGGGATAAAAATGTGTCTAATTACTTCTTTGCTGAGTGAATTAGACTACTTAATGTTCCAAATTTGATAGAAATGAGAACACAATGTTAAACACAACAAAGTTTAAAACCCTCTTCCTTCTCTAATTCTTATTGAAGAAACGATTGCAACAAGGATGGGACAAATTAAAGGATTCGTCATTTTTTAAGTAGTTTTTCTCGATGACGGAGAGCGGGATGGATAATACAAATGAATGATTACACACGTTATTATGTGAAGAATTTAAATAGTATACAAAATTCTGATTCAGGAAAAAGGAAAGGAAAGTTATTTCAATTATTTAACTGAAATTTAAAAGAAAAATAGCTCGAGAAGTGTAATACATAATTTATCTAAAAATGCTGTTAAAGGATTTAATTAATCTAATTGGTCAAAATTAGAGTAGTGGATGTTGTTACTGTAAATAAAGATTTAAAATTCTATGTTAAAAATTTTAACTTTTCTTTCGGAGGATTCAGTAACCGTTAATAATGTTATGCTTAAAATTGATTATATTATACTTTTATTCCAAATTTTATGTCATTGACCGCATTGAAACTTACAGAAGAATTATTAAAACAATCTATACAAAACAATTTGTTTAATATGTTATTTACTTACCACGTATTTCAGCCTTTAGGCTCATAAATATTGAAATGCAAGTCAAATTTAAAATATAAAAAAATTCTGTTTTATGTTAAATCTTTTTTTAATATGGTTTATCGTTACTCGTAATAGAAATATATCTTCACATCTTGCTTTTATAGTATTTAAGAAACTGTTGATCAAATTGTTCTAGAACTGCATTCCACTTATCCCAATGCCCGTCTCCAACATCCATTACGAAGCAAGTGAAATACGCTTTTCGAATATTAGAGAGGCATTTGGCACGTTGCAGTACAGTGATATAACACATTCCATATATGCTGCTTTTGGCTTCAAATCTATTTTGAAAGATGGATAATCCATTCTAATGACATCTTCTGTTTCCAACATCTTTTGAGACTTGCTTGATGTAGATGTGCATTATTATCCATTATCAAATAATCTAAGCCAACCTCATTTATAAAAGGTCTACATGAAATTCCAAGGCTCAATCATCCATATACATGTCACCGATTTAAAAGCTACCATTAAAATATGCAATGCAGCTGGATGTGGACATTTTTGATGATAGCGCCCTAAACGATAAAACCGCTTCTACGAAAAAGGGAACTTTAGTGAATAAGGAAAGGAAATTTATGTGTAAATCGAACCCTACAGATCGCACTATGTCTAGATTCACAATTTAGGACATATCTAGACACTTCGGTAAACAGAAAATTGCCCCATTTTTCTCGGCTTCATTGATCATAATGTCTTAATCACCTCAAATTGCAAACTGGCAGCCTTTGGAGATGAAATGAGTGAGACTTAAGTTCTCAGTTTTCCTGCATACATTCCAACAACATGAAAACTTCATGCCGCTGATCCGACTTTCTGTGGAATCCTTAAGGAGTAAAACCAACTCTCTTCTAGGCTCTTCATAATTTCCTTGAATGTACGGACTTGACCGTCTACTAAATGAGTTACTGCTTAAAAAGAGGTTCCACGTCCTTGATATGACGCGTTGATGGATATTTATATCTTGAGCTCTGCGTTTGACATCCCTTGAGACTAATTCTAATTATTCTTATAAGATTTTGCGGCTTTACTGTACCTGTACAACACTGCAAAATTTATAAAATAACTGGGGAATATCGGGATAAACTTGGCGCTTGATAGGAGCTTGGAATTACAATATCACCAAATCTTATTAGGTTCTACTGACGATGTAGATTTTACGACAATGATCAGATACTTGTTTGAAGGGATTCGTCGCAAATGAGCAGATCGGTTGCTTAGTTAGCCCTCTCATCACCGAGAATGTTGACCAAGGTAAGACCCATTATTGTACCAACGAGAAAATGGGTAAGATAACCACGTACGACCAAGACTTATAACAAAGTCTTAGGCTAAAGGGCAGCTTCAGCTAACCACTATAATTTACAAGTCAATAAATTAAAAATATATTTTCGCAACAGATACTTCTCCGTATATAGTTTATTCATTTTAGAATATTCATTTTGTATTTTGCATTTGGGTATAAAGTGGATATGAGTCATAAGCTGTCTGATCTATAATTTGACGTAAATGTTTTCTTCTAATAATGCATGAAACCTCAAATAGAATTCTCTGTTTTTTAGAAAGTGAAAAAATATATGGATTCCGTCTACAAATAAAACTCGTAGACAAAACAAGAATGACTATTTACATGACATATTATTTTTATCATACATGAGCAAACATGGATACTATTTAGTAGTATCAACAGTCGTATTCGAGCTCCAAACATCGTTCTTCGCGAAAGGCAACAATGGGATCCGCCTGAGAGTTACTAACCGGAGCTTTAAGTCAGATCCACAGCATTGACTAAAATGATTTGACTAAATTATGCAAAAAGGAAAAACAATTACAGTTTTTATTTTCATTATTTGAAATAACCTAAATACGGCATATCTATTTAAAATGTAAATGATAAAATACAAATAAAATTAAATAAAGTACTAAATGAGTAACTAAATTAAACTTTACAAAAGCTCAAAATTTCTTTCTTGCCTCTTAATAGTTAAAATCAAAATGAAATTGATAAAAGATTCAAGATTTTAAACTGACCTCATAATATGTCTTCTGCAGTTTTTTCTCTAGGCTATCCTTTTCTTTCTGGTAGTAAATCCCAGCGAATATCAAAACATTGAGCACAAGTAATGAACACCCGACAGCAATTGTCACTACAAGAGCAGTAGAATAAACTGTTTGTTGATTCCCTGATACTTGGGTGATATTGCCAGGGGTAAGCTTCTCCGAAACTGTTACCACTTCTGTGTCGATTTTTACTGAAATGCTGACGTTCTTGGGGAAAAATGACTCATGAGTAGGCTGTGGCTCTACAATCTGTGTTCCTTCTTTCTCTTCTGGAAAGGGAGTCGTAAGGGCTGGATGAAGACTGTCTGAATTATCTCGGTGCCGGACGACGCCGTCGTAGCTGTAAGGATTGTCGTGATCATGGAGTCTGTGGTGCTGAATAGATGCGTTGCCATCACCAGAATCATGGAGGCGAGGTATGAGATTCAACCAATAGGACAAGCGGTGAGCATGATAATGGTCTCTAATCCGAGTTTTCATAGCTGTAGAAAAGTTTGCTTATTAGAAAACTACATGAAAGACATAAAATTATATTGTTAATTGATTAACGCTCAAATCCGTTATACTTCAAGGAAATAGCAGAAAACCAATAATTTTAATTAAATATCTCCAGTAAGGATAATACAATGAAGCGTTTCATGACGACAAAGCTGTAAGACCATAACCTATAAAATTACTAATATTTCTAAAGACATAAGACAGTGAATAATCTTGTATGAGAGGATTTTGTTGTTTAACTATAGAACGTTAGGCATAATTTGATGCATCTCTAGACAAACAATGATACATTGGTTTGGAATGAAATAACACTGATTGACCCAGCTTTCTGTCTGTAAAAAGATGTATTTTAGTTCAAATTATTTCTAATGTTGAAATTGTAAAGAATCATATAGTTATGTAAAGGTAAAATAAATTCATATAAAATGAAATTCCTTTACAGTTTGAGTAAGTAAACTCTGAAAAAAATTGTCATTCAAAATTATATCATTGTTCAGTGTATTCGAAAAGGAAAATTAAAAATACTCAACATAAACGTGTGAAATATAATAGGTGAATGATGACGCGTGAAACATAATATGCAATGTTCAAACATAACAGGTAACGTTTAAACATAACAATCAGTGTTCAGTAAACATAATATGTATGTAGAAGAAATGAACATAAGAGGAAAATGAACTTTTCTCTCATTTACCTATTATGTGTGTAATTTCATCTTCATAAGTCAGTCTGATATGAAACTCAGTGCATCTGCTTGTGCTTTATTAAGCTAGATTTTACTTTCTTTATAAACAAAATGCTCGGGCATTACGTTACTTAATTCACTGCTTCCCAAGACTATCCAATCTTAGCTGACATGCAATCTAAAGGTTTAAGTAACACATAAATTGTATGCAGAAAAACGATTAAATGATCTCGTTTTGAGACTAATAGCACTTCTTGGCTGACACTCCTTTCGGCTAAAAAGAAGATAAACACTGTAGTAATAAAGTGATGAAAAATTGCGTTGCCACCTGTCTAATCCCACTCCAGACTTCAATGAACAATTAAATACTATTACATCTAATCTATATACTATGTAACCTGGTTTAAATGTAAGAGTACCTTGCAACAAATAAGAAATTGAAGTGAATTTTGAGTTAAAGCGTGAGCAAATTGTTCTTAGAATATGTAAAGCAAAGCACAGTTTTATTTAATTCATAAATATACTGATGTCACAAAACATGGTAAGTATTTATTTAAATATGCACATAGAAGAAATTGCGCGATTGGATTTTTTTAATGTTGTCCGGAATTGCATCAATTATTAACGTGACATAAAACACCTAAAACACTTGCCTCCGTTTGGCGGAAGATACCCCAACCACTATGCCTGACAGCAGCTTATGAGATACGATTATAAATATTATATTATATATAAACCCTCATAAACCCCTCCCCCAAATGATTGTTTTTTGCCAACGAGAATATAAAGTCCAGATTTAAAGAAGAACAACTTTATAGTTGTAAGCAATGCTGTCTCACTGCGCTTTAAATTTTAACCTTCCAGCACGCGCGTACGCGTAAAATTTACGACAAATTCAGTTTATAAATGCACGTCTTTTGCATATCGAAGCTGAGACGTCTGACGGTCATTTCTATTCCTCCTTTCTACCATTCCCCACATCGTAGAATGTGCCAACAGGAAGTCATTTGACTTTTTCTTTTTTAACTGGGCTTTTGTGCTACGTGGTAGCTGTTTCATAAAAGTTACGACACGCGCGTGCTCGTGTTTTAAAATTCGGAAAATATTTTGTAATTTTGTATTATTAATTGCCGTGTATTATTTTAATTTGAATACATTTGACTCTTTAAATTTTATATCGGTTTGCATGGCAAAAAAATATGTGCAACCAGCTGATGTTCCTCGGATTTTTCAAGAATTATCTGATAAAGAAAAGGAAGACAAGGAAACTTTGGATAGGAGAACAATAGCGATTTGCATTCCTTATTTTCTTTCCATTCTTTATTTTCTTTTATTTCTATTTTTTAGAAATAAATAAACACACTAAATTTAGTTAAAAGTGCGGTTTTGTAACCAGTAAAAAGTAAATTTCCTTGTAGAAGTAAATAATGCTAAACTTAGACTTTTTTTCCTAATCAAGGTGTTTTCCTTTTTATTATCTATACTAGTCCTTCGATGAATATTTAAAATTAGCTTCGAAATTTAAAATATAATTATTAAATAATAAATTTAAAATTTTCTATAATGAAATACATCATTGCATTTCCGTCTCACTAACATAACAACTTAAAAATAATTTATTTATATTTGAATGTGAGATCATTTGTATTTTTCAATATTAAGATTAATATTTTATTTCTTAAAAAAATTATTATCAATATTCACTCATTTCTGTCGTTTTCCAAGCCAAAAAACGGTAAAATAACGGATATCGTAAAAAATACTACACGCGCGCGTTCATGTAAAATTGCCAAGCGCGCGTGCTGGAAGGTTAAGGAAACGGTAAATGAAATTCATTTGGCAAAGATCTGAATTTCGCTCTGTAATTCCGTGAAAACGATACATTAAATAACATTTGGACACATCTGTATCCGTCACCTCTGTATCGCATGTTATCTTTTCTGCGAATATACTGCTTGACACAGAAATTTAAACACCGTAAAATAATGACTGGAACTGACCAAACTTAGCGCTTAGGTAGCTAATAAATCTAATTAAATATTATTTAATTTTCAAACCTGTACATATTGTTACGAATTTGGTATTTAAAAAGCTAATGTTAATTCAATTACAAATTAAATGGTTTTATTTCTCGCGCAGTGCAGCGCGTGACGAATATTAAAAGAAAGCTAAGCCGGAAAATTGAAAATACAAGAGCGCGTGCATTAAATAAATAAATATCTCTTTTTGATTTCGAGAAAGTACTGGAAAATTCTAGCGCGTGATTTTAAAATCTTATAAAAGGAGGAAAACATCTCAGTTTGTAGTAGTTGCTTAGTTTGTTGTTGTTTAGAAAACTGCTCTTGTTGATTGTAGCGAATTCGCGGATTAGCGTTTCTTAGCTGTTTTGAATTACGTTCTATTGGATTTGAGTAGTTAAAAGATAACTACTGTGAGATATTGTAATACTGCATGATAATTTGAGAACATTTAAGCATTTTTGTTGTGATAATAATAAATTTTTGTTCATTTTTCATCAGACTTGTGCATTCATTTCATAACGAACCCGTACGCACGCAACAATTTTTGGTGTCAGGAGTGGGGTTTGAATGCCAATAACAAGAGGGATGGAAGAAAAATTGAGACAGCTCATTACTGCTTTTGCTGCGTTCCAAGAAAAGATGGAAGCTGGCCACACATCTTTTAAAGAAGAAATTAAAGAGGAAATGAAATTGGGCCAGGAATCCGTTAAGGAAGAGATGAAATTCTTAAAGATGAGATGAAGCAGGTCAGGACGAAATGAAAAGAGAAATTACCTGCGTAATAGAAAATAAATTTGAGGCTATGGAAGCAGAATAACGCGGTTGAAATTAAAGTTGGACAAATTGAAGAAAGAAAACGTTTCTTCTGTGAAAAGAGCAAATAGAAGAAAAGTTTCGGCGTGAAAAACAATAGGTTACAGAGTTGATTCAGTCAAAGAAGAAATAGAAGGAAGAGTTTGTGCCGTTAAACAACAAATCGAACAACAAATTGATGAGAGAGTTTCTGCAGTTGCCAAAGAAGTGGATACTTTAAAGAAATTCGTAGCGACGGCAGGGAGCAGGAGTGATCTGATTTTAAATTCTTACCGATGCCTGCTCGTTCCATCTCTGAAGCTATCCACATATGATGGGAAGACATCCTGGCAAGTGTATAAGACACAATTTTCTATCGTGGCGGATGCGAATGGATGGGATTCCCAAGCTAAGGCCTGTCATCTCGCCGCTTCTCTAAGAGCCGACGCAGCGGATATCCTGCAGACTCTTCCCGAAAACCAAAAGACTTGACTTTCGAAGCTCTATCCGGCGCATTGGAGCTGCGCTTTGGCGAGAAATGTTTTAAAAGACTACAGCAGGCTTCAATTAAAATCCCGTCAAACAGAAGCCCACCGAAACACTTCAGGAGCTCGCCACGGATGTTGAAAGGCTGTCACATCACGCCTTTTCGGAGTGCCCGACAGAAACAAAGGAAATTCCTGTCCCTGCAATATTTCATCGACGGCATCCGGGACCCTGAAATACAGAAAGCTCTTCGAATGGCAGGATGTAAAAGGACATAAAAAAGCGCTCTGTTGTACGCCATGAAGTTCGAGGCAGCCCAGCAAGCAACTAGTAGAGATCGCTACCCAGTCAGAGCTGTGCGAGTCCACGAGCCAGTGGATCAACTGATGGCTCGTTTAGATGATTTAGCCAGACAAGTCGACGCTTTGATACGGAGTAGGAGCGAGAAGAAGAGAGAGAAAAAAGTGGCTCTAAGGTGTTGGAGATGTGGTAGTGAAGGTCACCTAAGACGGAATTGCAGAACACCCCAGGGTACGGAATATAAAGCAGATGATTTTACCAGACAAGTCAGTGGCTTGAGACGGAACAGAAGTGAAAAGAAAAAATTAATTCTAAAGTGCTGGAACTGCGGAGTTGAAGGCCACATACGAAGAAATTGCAGAACATCCCGAGGTACGGAAAATAAGACCATTTCCCAGCAACGACGCAGTAAACAAATTAGTGACCATATCGAGGAACGGAGGTTGTCAGATAATGAAAAAACCTTGTTTTAAAGCGCTTAAAATTTATACAGTGAGTGGCAACAGTAACGGAATGTCCATTAATGGGAATATCGATGGAGTTCCTTGCGATATGATCATTGACACAGGAGCTAATGTTACCATCATTAGGAAAGATTTAGCTGCTGAACAGTTTAAAGATAAACTTATTTGGACGCCATCCTGTGTTACCCTTCAGACTGCGTCTGGTGATAAGATCGACATAACTGGGAAGTTAAACG